AACATCTCTCTGCATATCCAACATCTCTCTGCATATCCAACATCTCTCTGCATATCCAACATCTCTCTGCATATCCAACATCTCTCTGTATATCCACAGGAGTTTGCGGGCGAGGGACTCCGCACACTGGTCCTGGCCCACAAAGAACTGGATGAGGCCTACTTTCAAAGCTGGAAGGCCCGGCACCACGAGGCCAGCACTGCCCTGGAGGAGCGCGAGGAGAAGCTGGACGAGCTCTATGAGGAGATAGAGAAAGACCTGCTGGTATGTAAGATGCCCTGTCAATGAAGCAGCTAATTCTGCCGTTAGCATGTAACACAACTAACCACCAAATATTATTTGCATATATGTATGTAAATAAAACATTTAAGACTTGGCAAAACCAAGTATAGATCTGAAAATGTTCTGTGTTGGATGTAATGTAACCCAGAATTCTTGAGACTGGTCAACAAAGTTTACAAAGTTTATCTGCATTATTTGTAAAATCAAAACAGAAGAAAATGATACCTAATGCAGGTATGTAAGACCTATAATATGAGTCTTCCAATGTTTCCTGCTATATACATGCATGCAATTGGGGATCCAGTAATGTTATGCTTTATTTATGCTTTTTAAATACATTCATCATCCATCATACAGCAGGAAAGCATTGTTGTGAATATTTCTCTGTGTGTGGATGTCTTCAGCTGTTAGGGGCTACAGCCATTGAGGACAAACTCCAAGATGGCGTCCCCCAGGCCATTGAGGAACTCTCTAAGGCCGACATAAAGATATGGGTGCTGACAGGTGACAAGCAGGGTACGTCACTAATGATGAATCATTGTTCTTCATGTGTCTTTAACCACATCATGCAGCAAACTCTTTTAAGATGAGCCCAGTCATAAGAGAATAACACAGAATAAAGCAGAATAAGATTATTAAACCTAATACCTAAAACTTCAGTTTCCATCTTTTTATTTTTTTTAATGATTTAAAAAGGTAGAGTAAAATTATACCTAATAATTATAACCAGATCTATTACTGTCTGCAAAAATATAGATCTGGGCTGCCCAGTTCCAGTCCTGGAGGACCAGTCCGCAATACGTTTGCAGATTTCCCAGCTTACCAACTAATTGTCAGGTTTAGTAGGTATGTTTGATTATGGAAATCTGCAAACTGGTCCTCCAGGACCGGAATTGGACAGCCCTAATTTAGATACTAGATTTAGGTGAAGATTTGTGTTATTTTAATTATTTTAACAGAGACAGCAGAGAACATTGGATACTCGTGCAACCTTCTACGAGAGGAGATGGATGAAGTGTTCATAGTGGCAGCAAACTCATCAGAAGAAGTGAAACAGGAGCTACAGTGAGAAGCAAATTAATTCAGATCTAAATTTGAAATAGTCACTACTATATATAAACCCTTGATATGCTGCTGTCTGCTTTCTGTACTTAGGAATGCAAGGAAGAAAATGAAGCCTGATTCAGAGGATGAGCCTATAATCATTGAAAGTGGAATTCTGGGTAAAAAGTCCAAGATGGTCGCTGATGAGACTGTAGATGGAGAGTATGGCTTGGTGATTAATGGACACAGTTTGGTAAGTAAGAGAATAGGTTGGGTCTTTTTCAACCTATCACAGCAGAGTAGTATGAAGTGTATTTTTTTGGATGAGTCCATCATCAGTAACTTATGTTTATTTTCTTAAATTGTATATTTTATAGAGGCCTGAACATCACACGGCTCTTTATTACACTTGAATTTCTTCTCTTCTATCTCTCTCTGTCTCTTCTTTCTGTTGTGTCAGGCCTTTGCCCTGGAGAAGGGCCTGGAACTGGGTTTCCTGCGGACAGCCAATATGTGTAAGACCGTGATCTGCTGCCGGGTCACACCCCTGCAGAAAGCCCAGGTGGTGCAGCTGGTCAAAAAGTACAAGAATGCTGTCACCCTCGCCATTGGGGACGGGGCCAACGACGTCAGCATGATCAAGGGTAGGTTACTGCAGGTCCACACGGAAGACACTGGGAGATACTTTCCGACAACAGAAAACGTAGCAAACTGCTACAACTGTGTTAGCTACAACAACAGACAGTCCATATCATACTGGATAAGGAGTCCATTATACGTCCAGTAGTATCCCATGTTTAAACCAGACTAATTTGCAAAAAAATAAATGAGTGTAACAGTGAGGTTTATTATTACTGTGGCTATAATTATTACTATAAACAACAACAAAAATGAATAACAACAACAATAATAATAGAAAGATCAATCAATCTTTATTTATATGGCACTATTTTAACCACATGGTTTACAAAGTGTGTAAAATAACTGTGGTAATTTCATAAGTTTTGCACAGGGTCAGCAGAGGCTGTTTGTGTTGCATAAATGTTCTCTCTGGACAGAAAGTGTTAAATGGAAATGTATATTAAATAATTGATAAAGTAATTTAATACCAAGCTAATCCGTTTCATAATTTATGACCCTGCCAGTCACAGGAACCTTAGACTGTTCATTAATTAAGTGAATAATAACAGCTACTGCTATTTTGACATACGTAATATTCAAACATCACAACAGTTTTTTTTTAAGTACTGTGGAAATCGCTTATAGTGATCACATCTGTCTGCATGAATCACTATGAGCAGATGATCATTATAACCAATTTTTTTCTTCTTTATGTCTCAGGCAGATTGCCATGTAATTGACATTTGTATATTTATAACATGAATATAAGTTAATATAATATATAAATATGTGTTGCTATTTACTTACTTTTATTGACACGCTTTTCAAATAACAGTACTGCACAAATGAAGTTACTGAACTGTGTATAATTCAAATACACTATAATAGTTATGAATAATACATAATACATATAATAATACAATACAATTATGTACTGTACATAATATTCAATTCAATTTTATTTACACAGCACATTTTCCCAACATTTTATTATATGAAAGCCCCTACTGTAGTGTCACTGCTTCATCTCAGTGGCTTGTTTTTGCCGGTTTGTAATAAGCTTTGAGGAGTCAATATTTGTCACTGAGAGAAAATTACTTTTTTTTCCCGTCATGTTTTCTATGCACGCTGAATTAGCCTCAGGTAGCTAGCCAGAAGCAGACACGTTACTGCAAGGCAAGCTAGGCCAAAGTAAAGTTAAAACAAATTTTTTTTAAAAAGCATTACTGCGGTTTTAATTTTTTCTCATGGTTAAAGAGACCCAAAATGAGCACTGTAAGCGGACTACTTCATTACTATAAGCGAATTAGTGTTTGTACAGGAATGATTCTGTCCCAAACTTTTCTACTGCATTTTTAAAAATCTGAGTATTAAAGAAAAATGAAGCTTAAATTTGTCATTGCTTATAGAGAGGAGATTGCATGTTGATTACCCCTATTTTCATGGCATGTTAATGATTAAGGATATAGTATTAAGGATACTACAAATGGGATATTTTCCGGACTAGGGAAGCCATGATCTAGACTTGGTCCAGTTTGATTTAATAATTCATTTTCATTTGAAAAGTCAAAGAAAATGAAAATAATGAGTTTAATTAGAGTGGCATGCTGGCCTCATAGCTCGTGCCTTGGTTCTTTGTTGATGAATTCTCTACATCTTCATGTGGGATTCCTCAGGGAACTCTGATTTTCTCTTGTCCTCTTAAATTCTTCTAGGTTGATTGGAACCTCAGAACGATCTTGTGTGTGATTGGGTTCCCAATTAAGCTGTTCCCTATATTTGCTGGAATAGGATCACCCTGACTGCTACATTAGATACTGTATATGGTTATAGAAAATACACGATAATATGAACCTGAACTATTGTCTGTGTAAAGGGTGTAACCTTGGGCTGAACATTGGGGGTCTTGAGGTCTCCACCCATTTGGTGGGGGTTTGTATTGGCTGGTTTTGTAATTTACGCCCATATCTAGGCATAAAGTTGGAGCTTAAGAGCTTTCAACTCGATTAAGTGGAAGAAGGTCAGATCTGATCGTTTGAAATCTGTGCTTTTTTATTGGAGGCGATATTTACTTGTACGATATCCTTCTTCTTCCATCAAGCTAACAGTGTAATTTAATCAAGCAAATAATCAATGTTGTGTTTCCCCATAGTGCCACGGTGTGTTTATGGCGTGTTGTGGATGAGCAGTCCTGAGTTTGTCACTTTCTATGTGTTCTGGAAATGGGGGTTTTCTTGGAAGGCTGCGTGTTATTGGCTTTGTGAGAATCTGTTGCTGTACCATCCATGTCTTTGTTTCTCTGCCCTGTTTTACGTCTCTGATCTGCTATAACACCCGTCTTCCCTGCTTTTCACTCGCTCCCTGCCTTCCTTTTAGTCCCCCATGTTATCCCGTCATTACCCTCCAGTCCTCTCGGTTACCCACTAGTCCATTTTCTCATCCTAGCATTCATCCTTCCATCACATCCCTCCATCTACTCATTACACACGTCTGCCTCACCCCCCGATCCCCCCCCCCCCCTGCAGCGGCCCACATCGGTGTGGGTATCAGTGGCCAGGAGGGCATGCAGGCAGTGCTTTCCAGCGATTTCTCCTTCGCACAGTTCCGTTACCTGCAGCGCCTCCTGCTGGTCCACGGCCGCTGGTCTTACCTGCGCATGTGCAAGTTTCTGCGCTACTTCTTCTACAAGAACTTCACCTTCACCTTGGTACACTTCTGGTACGCCTTCTTCTGTGGGTTTTCTGCACAGGTAAGAGAAATACAGAGATAATTCCTAACAATTTCTCTATAAGATAATACCATCACATGTGCTCTCTTTATGATAAAAAAAATTATTCTCTTGCAGACGGTATACGATGAATGGTTTATCACTCTGTACAACCTGGTCTACACTGCTCTTCCTGTGTTGGGAATGAGTCTGTTTGAGCAGGTAACCATCCGAACCAGACAATTAAACTGGACTGTGATCAATCAGAAAAAAATCAGAAAAATGTAATAGTGTTTTTTTTTTTTTATTACATTTCAAAAGCATATCTGATTTTCTTAAGGGAAGCAAACAAAAGAAGTACCCAACGTGGCAGTAGGAGCAAAAATTAAACTTGTTCCTTGAAGGAATACAGTGATCTGTTGCACTTATCAAATAATTGTGGAATATATGTAACTCAACTCATAAACATTGTGAATGACATTGTTAATGACTGAGGTTGATTCAGTGCAACCAATTACTCATACTAATATGTATATAATTAAAGGCCATATCTTTAGATATATATTGTGCATATGTCCATTTGCGTGCAGGATGTTAATGATCGCTGGAGCTTCCAGTACCCACAGCTGTATGCCCCTGGGCAGCTGAACCTGTACTTCAACAAAGCCGCCTTCATCATGTGTGTCATGCACAGCTGCTACAGCTCCCTCGTGCTCTTTTTCGTCCCGTACGCCGCCATGTATGACACAGTGCGTGACGATGGCCGGGAAATCGCCGACTACCAGTCGTTTGCGCTGCTGGCTCAGACCTGTCTGCTCATTACCGTTTCCATCCAGGTAAGGGCATGACCAGCCAAGTCATGGAAACGTGCACTATCACCTCGAAGGTGGTCCTTAAGCAGACTCACAATAGCTGTACCCACTGTTTATCCGGTAAAGTGAAACAAACCCTACTCAAATCAAAATGCCTGTTTTCATTGCAAGTCTCTAATTAGATTACTAATCTGAGGACTGATTGGCTGAAGAGTCCGTACACCTGGGTTTGAATAGATGACCTAAATATTATCCTAAAAACCAGCATACACACTTTGCGGATAAGATTGCCCACCCTTGTATATATATCTCTAAATAGCCCCATATGGAGACCTTTCTCTTGAAATGTGTGCCTGCACATACCAGTGTGGAGCACATTCTTGCCAAAGGCTCTTAGAGCTCTCTTTACATTGCCCTTCCTCAGCTGGGGCTGGACACCGCTTACTGGACAGCAGTGAACCAGTTCTTTCTCTGGGGAAGCCTGGCGGTTTACTTTGCCATCACGTTCACCATGTACAGCAATGGCATGTACCTCATCTTCACCGCCTCCTTCCCCTTCATTGGTGAGCTCCCTTTATCTTGCATCCTCTTATCATTGCTTAACAGCAGACATGTCCTTATTTTGGGCTTCAGTATTGTTTGTTTCCTCCTTAGATTGTGTACTTTTAATGACCTGCATCAGCTAGATGGTTTAATCAACACATTTTCCTATAATATATAACAGTGTTTCCCAACCTAGTCCTCAGGGACCCCTAGCTAGTGCATATTTTTGCTCCCCCCCCAGCCAAACAGTACACATTTTTGCTCCCCCTCAGGACCAAAAATGTGGATTGTCTGGGGTGCACGAGTGGTTTGGGAAACACTGATCTATAGGCGCCTTTTAAATAAAATGTATTATTATTATTATTATTATTATTATAGCATTTAGTATGAGGCGTGCTAACGTGAGTATTTTATATGCGACAGGCACGGCGAGAAATTCCCTGAATCAGCCCAATGTGTGGCTGACCATCATCCTTACATCAATCCTGTGTGTACTTCCAGTAGTGGCTTTCCGTTTCCTGCTCATCCAGCTGTACCCTACCATCAATGACAGGGTAGGAGACTAATCTTAAGCATCTATTTTAGATTGTTTGAACTCTTTGTAACATTTGATAGTTATTCTTGCTTCTATCCTCTGCTTTAATACCCATATACTCTTGCCATGAATATAGCCTTAGTTGCTGTCATGGTGTTAAGAATCAACATGACTTACAAGGCACTCTGTCAGGAAAAATGGTACAGAAAGAGTTGCACATTTGTTCTAGACCAAGATTTAGTTTCAACCAACCGTGTATAAAGAGTCACAGTCACAGACTACTCAAGTGGTTGGTTGAAACAAAATCTTGGACTGGATTTTTACTTTCTGTAACTGAAATATCCATCTCTGGCTGCAGCTCTGGTACAGTTTTGTTCCCCAAGGTACAAACAACATTAATGTACCCCAATAACACAAAAATGTTCCTCAGAGTCCATTTCTGTACCTTGAAAGGTACATTTACCTACAGCTAGGGTACAATTGGCAGACCCTTGAATGTATAGCGCCAGTGACAAATAACTGTACCTATAATTCCTAAAAATTGGTATTTTTTATGACAATCTAGGAGGCTTGGTTAGGGTGTCCCCTGAGGGGCTCATCCCATACTGTGCAGGCCAGGAAATGAACCTGTTAGCATGAATGGATTTAATTTTTCCAGCAGTTTTAATCTTTATTCATTTATGACATTTGATATCTGCAGTTCATTCCCCCATCTCAAAATGTGTGAGATCTTCCAGCATGAACCTCTCTTACATAACCCTTCCCGTCGTGCCTTCTGAGAACCCAGATTTTCACAATCTCAAGCTCGGAATATATTCCTTTATGATAAGATAAAGTTTTCCAGTTTATGATTTAACAACAGCATATCAAATGATTTTTAAAAGTCATAATCTGAAGCTATCTGGTTCAAGACTCGGGGAATCTCAGTAAAATGTCTAGCTGTGTAAATGGGCAAAAATAGCTAGGCGACTAAAAATAATACTGATTCTTGTATTATTTTTAAGTATTTATTAATAAAAAAGAAGCACATACTTCGCCTGTGCCAGGACTCAGTGTTCATTCAATGCATTCAATAGCCCGATAAAAGAGTGGACATATTATTCATCGTCAGATCTAGTCTGTGCTGAAGGACGGACTTTCCCAGAACATTCAGTCACTTGACTGTTTGAGTGGTATCTGAGTGTGTCGAATGATAAACGGGCCGGTCAGTGTCTGGAGAGATGTGTGCTTAGTCATGTACCAGTTTCTGTTCCAGCTGGCTGTGAACTTGATAACAAGGGGCCCAGAAAAAACAGTGACACATGTCACTAGAGCTGCCCAGAGGGGCTTTGGAGCAGAATTAAACTGGCATGTGACGGAGATCTGAGTTCTGTTGCTTTGCTGATAATAGTTACTTGATTTTTCAGATTCTTCTTCGTAGTAAGGACGTTTCCAAAAGAGGATCACCAATAAGATAAAAATAGCTTTCCGTACTTGTGATGTTTTGTCTGCTTGTATATTCTGTCACTTGTTTCCTCCTGCTTTTGCTCTGACATTCCTCTCCATACTGTTTCCATACTGACCATTCCCTCCCAAATTTGTCCTCCTCTTCATCTTGTTCCTCAGGTGAGGTTCAAAGTGAGAGAAGCGAAGGCAGCTCCACCCCCGTTACCCAAGCGTGCCCGTCTCCGCCGCACCAGCTCCCGCCGCTCGGGCTACGCCTTCTCTCACACTCAGGGCTACGGTGACCTGGTGACCTCCAGGCGTTTCCTGCGGCGACCCGCCATCGGCCATGCGGGCGGGTTCAGTCCATCTGGCCGACAGCAAAGTTCCGCAAGGCAGGAGAGCCTCCCGCAGACGTACCGTGCTGTGGGAGAGGCCTCCAGACGCGTGTGAAAGGATCCAAGGCAGTTCGGACCAAGTTTGGTCCCCGTGGGACGTAGCACCTACGGCACAGAGTGTGTCTGTGGAACAGCAAGACCTTCAGTACAGCATGAAAAGGGATTTCATTAAAGACACAAAGAATTGCCCAGTGTTGAAGCAGTGAGGGATATTCTCCATGATATACCTGGAACCAGCACATTCAATGTACCTGGAACCAGCACATTCAATGTACCTGGAACCAGCACATTCAATGTACCTGGAACCAGCACATTCAATGTACCTGGAACCAGCACATTCAAATGAGTGTCTGGAAGAAAACATCGTCTCTGTGGTGCAGGTTACTTCTGTGTCAGATATTCTTATTGCATGTTAAATATTATTTGAGATGACCAAGAATATAGTATTAATTGAATTTAATTTTATATTTGATTTGCTGGACACTAAAGACTTGGTGAGTGACCTCACACCTCCAGGGTTGTGACTGAGACACTGACTGGCTCTGTGTGTGTAAGTCCTCCCTGTGTTTATGTCGGTCTTCTCTGGATACTCTTCTGTCCTCCTGCAGTTCAAAAATATTTGTGTATGTGAATTGGTGTCTCTAAATTAGCCATGATATGGGCCCTGTGATAGACTGGCATCCAGTCCAAGGTGCCCTTTGCCAACGCCCTATGCCTCATGGGACAGACTCCCAGCTCCCCATGACTGTACTAGATAAGCAGTTACTGAAAATGAATGGATGATAAAGACCAAATTACAAATAATTTTCCACTTCTTGAGTTTGACTCCAAAACATTTTGGAATTTTCGTGATATCCTTATCAGGAATTAATCCTAATCAGTGACCTTTGTGGCCTTTTTAATAACTAAAATAAAAATACAGTGCCACTAATAACACTAATCATGCAGTATTTCTTTGTTTTTTTATTTCATTTTGATCTTTTGTATGTTTGTCAATCTGATCTGGTCAGTGCAATAATTCATTGCCAGCTAAACGAATCACCAAGTTCTTTAACCCGTAAATATACCAAACTGGTAGAGAGCCATGTTTAGAGACTCTGCTCATTCCAGACTCTATATGCATGTACTGTACTATGAAAACGTTTATATATTATATGGATTTATTATTGTTGCCTAAAACATCATTTTGTGTGGTCTAACTTATTTGCATACACAATTGGTTACCGGCCTTGGTACTGATTGGTGTATGGCATGTTTGTTTTTGTTTCAGGAATCGTAAATTCAATCCATACATGGAGTTTTATTCTTAACGATCCTTGTAGCCAGTTAGTGGTCATACATAGTATTTAGACTAATGCATTCCTGAGAAATCGCTTAAGTAAAATTCTATTATGACATGGTATAGGGCAAACAGAGCTAACAAAATAATTGTATTTCTGCATATACATGACTCTTCTAGGACGGAATTTAGGGTCTTTGGCTTAGGCAGTGGATTCTAACCTCTGAGACCTGCAGTCTGTGAAGGTTAATGCAATAGTCATTCAACTGTGATCAATGTTAGGTAAATAGTTTGACACAAAGATAATTTGTTGATTGTATATCAGTATGGTTTGATGTTTACAAAAGTAAAATTTTTCCTTTTTTGTTTTGTAAATTTTAATGAGGATTTTTTTTTAAAGGCCTAGATATACAGTAATAGGAATAGGAATGAGTTTGTGGCTTGATCAATCGCTCAGATTTTGAAGCACTTATTTTTTTCAAGGGACCAAAATCATAACAAGATGTCAGACACATTTTTCCCCATTACCTTCTCTATGCATTAAGGTAATACTGAAATACTTTTAGGCAAGACCAAATAGACCACAAATGCATGTTCATTAAATCTGTCCATATTGCCTAGAAAATATGCATGTCAGTTACTCCTTTGCGAATTTAGTAAAGTGCATATACACAGGCAGGAAACGGCATATTTTGGGGATACTTTTGTTACCTTTAATTATTATCTTTTAATATAACACAGTCATATATCAAACTGAAATGCAATACACTAAAGGATAATTGTGCTTAGAAATATGGTATTCCTGATTAAAGTTAAGAAAATTAGCGTTATCTGGGTTATTTATCTCTGATGCATTTTTTTCTGTTCAAATGTCATTGTGTTGTTTTCGAATAATCACTGCTTTATTTTGGCTGTAATGTCCAGATGTATCAGACTATAAATCTTTCACCGATTTTGATAAAAGATATGTTATGTGGAAAAATAAATGCATGATGTTTTTAGTAATACGGTTGTAGAATGTGCTTATTTGGATATATTGTAGCTCTAAAATTATGAATAAAGATCATGCCGAGAAGGATAAAATTTCCAGGAGGGGGACACGGGGGTGGGGGGGGGGACTTGTGACGCAGCAGCTCCGGCGCAGCCCAGCCCAGCCCAGTCTCCGGCTGTGCTGCCAAGACGTTCGCCTTTCCATCACTGGCGAATAAAAATGCATTTCTGCTGTTTCTCTTCCAGCCACCATAAAAACCAACTGGATGTTACTGACATCAGAATTAAAAGTCATTCGACTGATTGCGCCCCGGACCTGTAACGTAAGTGCGGTCATTTATGGATGTGGCTCCGCTTCCTTTCGTAAGAGGGATGCGGCTTTGCGACGGACCTGAAGGGTACGAGTGTAACTCACCCATTGAGGGAGCTTAAAGCAGCTTTTGCTACCTAATGTACGGTCTAAATGGTGCGCATGGCTGCCTTACTGCATGGTATCGGGAATGGGGTCTGCCTGGTATTCGGTCCGCACGGTTGAGCCCCGTTATTCGGTGTCTGTTTACGCGGTAGCTGGGCTAAGGGCTGCCGGGGAACCGTCATAGTGCGGAGCCGGAGCAGCTGAACTGCCCGCTCCTCTGGCACACGGTGCAAGGTAATGAAGCTTCTCACATTATATATATTTATATTTTCTCTTGCTTCCATTAGCAGTGTCCTTATGGCGTCTGAATGGGGGGATGTATATTTTTCTCCTTTCTTTTCCATCGCCTGCCGGTAGACGCAAGCATTCGCCGTATCCGGGCCGTAAATGTCATTACAGTTTTCTATACAATAAAATAATTGTTCGTCAGTGGATTGTAATCTGATCTTGAAACATGGACTTAGCCTAAATGGAATGGTACGATATCGACTAAGATCATTTCACTGTGAGAGGATTAAAACGTGAGCATCCATTTAAAGCTTGACATTGTGGTGTGGTTTGGTAAAGGATAAGTACGATTAAAATATGGAATATACCTAACAGAATATAAATATAATGTTTCTGGATTGTGGGTGATATTAAATGGAAATAGGCGACTGTAGTTGTCCAGTAAGCATCAGACAATGGGAGTGCAAATAAAGGGGCGTCCTTGCGCGGAAAGACCTTCGTGACATTCATGGAGTGAAGCCCCAAGCCATAGATAAAGATGTATTTTTCAAGCTAGAGAGGATTGTGTGGCTACCTTCTGCCTTGTACAGCTCCTATTTTCTTCTTGCCTAAATTAAAAACGGAACAAGTTCATACATCACAGATATGTGCGGTATGCGGGTGACTGACTGTCCGGAGCAGGTCTGCTTGTGAGTTAAAATCATGCAGAACCTGCTTTGATATTAATTTTCCCCGAGTAAGTTGTAAAATTGTTTCCACTTTGCCCAAGCTTCAGATGATTTTACTGGATTGGGTCTCATTGTTTTTTTTTATTTTCCTTTTATGAAAAATACTTACAATAATCTACCTGAGTATGTATGGTACTGTGCAGAGTCTTAACATGTAGGCCTATTAATTCTTAATACCTAGGTGGGCTATGCTAAAATCGCAAAATTATTTATGCTGATCAGTAGTAAAAAAATGAGTGTATGTCTTGCAAATCTTGAATGAATATATATATATATATATATATATATATATATATATATATATATATATATATATATATAAAATCCCTGTTGTATTAGCCAGGGGATTAGCTGTGATGCAGATACATGTGAGCTGCACTTTCCTCTGGAGATTTTGGTGGTGTGGATTGTAGCTGTTATAGGGGGAAGCCATTTTAACCCAACAAGAACAAAGTTTGCAAGTGAAATACAGCAGTACTGTACATTTTGTCCTTAACTGAACATAATGCAGTCATTTTCCATCCAGACATGGTGAGAAGCCTGGAATTACAATTGAGTCAGCGTATATTCTTAATTTGGCTTTGAGCTGAACTGCACACATAATGTCAGAGTCTTTATTTAAACAAGCCTTGTCTGATTCCTGCTGATCTGTCAGTTAATATTCTCAGTTCATTGTCTAGTTTAATGAAATAGTAACGAAAAAGTCACCATTTTTAACAAGTTAACACACTCATAATTCGTTGTAGTTTACATTACAAAGAGAATAGCAGTTTCAGTCACAACTACATAATGTAAAAAGGACAAAATAGTGAAAACTTTATGTATATGCTGCTAATGATGGGATATACACTTGAACTACAACTTGAGCCAAAATATGATGGTTTATTTTACAACTGGGTAATTGAGTCAAGTCTGCACTTGAGAAAAAATGTTAGGTTCTGTGCATCACCCTGGGATCCTTAATCAAAGCTGTCAAATCCTTAAGGTTCATCTCCAACCCACTTTGTCATGATGGATTCCCTTGTATACATTAGCAGTGCGTAAATGTCCTTATCGTGTCTGAGTGAGGGAAGCTGTGTCTCATGGAAGTACATAAGAAGAGCTTTTAAGGATTTGAATTATAGTCATTTTTAGTGCTCAAGTACCCAACAGACAAAAAAATGAGTACTTGAGTACTTGGGGGGAAGGGGGCAGTTGAGGCAAGATTGCAGAGGAAATATATACCGTATTAAGATGGTGGTATACTTCAAGTGAAATCGACAGAATCAACATTTCAGCAATATGATGTGGTATGAGCAGAAATCATTCAGGTGATCAGTGTTTCGGTTCATCACCTGGGTCGGGTCCAACTGTCAAACTTTGTCATTTGTTCTGGTCCTCCCCGCAGTCCAGGATTGGCTGACATAAATGTGACGCCGTGGGGTTGGTCAGCAGGCCTAATTATGCAGTTACCAGCATGCTTTGCGCCACAGCTTGCATATCTGTAAATGGTGTAAATTAATATGTGCATTCATGAATTCATGTTAACGGTAAATGTCATAACCATGTAATGTTCGCTGTGGAATGTGTTTCATTAGCGTGTAACCGTGACTGTTCTGCAAATGGTTGGTTTCCTCGTCTGTGCCACTGGTACTATTAAAGCAGTAGTGACTAACAAAGATAGCAGCTTCCATTTTAAAAGAGCAGTCATCTCCTTTATTAAAATGATTCACGCACTTGCCACAGTATGTTTATTTGTGCTCTGTTTGTGGGTTTGCTGCATCAAAAACATTCTGCGGTCTCTAGGTTTGTGGCGTGACGTAGAACGAACATGGAAGCGGCATCATTTTAAGTCTGTTTTGTCTGGACGTTGTTTGAAGTGTGTGACCACCTTCCAGCTGCTCTGGTAGTGCACTACCCACCCTAAATAAGTACATACAACCCAGCACCAGTTTAACTGCATTTTGATTTTCCCTTAAAAATTGTATTGCATGTAGTATGCAACACTTTGTATTCAGCTGCATGGTTATTTGGAGCGTTTTAAAATGGATTTGAATTCCGATGCACAAATATTCGAATATATCCCTGCTTTCACCGTTGAGTACTCGAGTAGACTTTTGAGTATGCGATCGCACTTTTGGGTACTCGAGTGTTTATTCCCATCCCTAGTAGGTTCAGTCAAATTCTTTCAAATGTTTGGTAATGTTTTACAGTTTGCCTACCAGCAGTTCTTTGTACTTCTTTACTCCTGGGTAAAGATGTACACTGGATGTAGTCTATTACACTTGGATTTTTCCAGTGCTGTATACAAAGGACTCGTTCATGGTGGTGGAATGCTGACTCAGACTCTTAGATTCCACAGCTCTTAGATCGCAGGGCAGAAAGCAGGAAGTGGGAACGTACGCCACAGTTATGATGACCCAGCTGCGTTTGTGTCTGTGATTCCAGCTTTGTCAGTGATGAACAACTCCATGGACACTTTTCAGAATTTTTTTTCTTAGACTAATTACCATTACTGCTATACACTGAAATCCAATTGTCCCAACTTCTTATTAAACAAGGAGACCATTGTAAAGTTGTTGGATATTTTCTGCACTGAAGCAGCAGAATGTACGGTGTCCCACAGCGGCTGTTACGAGGCAACGTGCCCCAAAGCCCTTGAACTCAATGTTCTTCATTTCATTCATTGAGAACTGAAGACCTTTGCATACTGATAAACAGCTGTTGCTGGAACGTTGCTGTCTTTCATTGATAAAGCCTCTGTTATGAACCAGCATGTTGTTACCTGCATTAACTGAGTGCAGTAACTAGTCAGATTAAATATGTTTAAGTGTGATGTGGGTTGGAGAATTGAAGTTATTCTGTCAAGCTAAGATGAAGGTTGATTATGCAGGTGGAATTATTACTGCTGTTTACAGTTGCCTCAGTCATGAACCTTCAAATAAAACAGCTAAATTTATATCTCTTTTCCATTTGTAAAGATGGGCCCGATAATCAGTTGAATGCAGGCTATATTGTTTGTAAAGGCAGAAGAAAAGCAAAAGAAGACAACTTTTTGGTTCTCTGGTTATTTCTCTAAAGGTAGATTACTGGGATAACTACAACCATTCGAGTCTGGGTCATAACCTTCCTTACCTAATTAAGGATCAACAAAGAATGGGGACTAGCTCATTCTGACTAATACAAAAGGAATCAGTAACAGTAATTCCTGGTGCAAATCTGAATTCCCTTCTCAGAGCTTGTGCAGTGCACCGGGCATGCTCAGTGCGAGTGAGGGATGTCGACTTAGACCGAGCATGGGAGACAATTACCCACAATCTCGCAGCGAGAGAGAGAGAAGAACCATCGGCTCAGTTGTGATCACGTGACGCTCGGCAGACAAAGTGTATACGTAATACTTGTATTGCAAGACCTCGCTCGTTTATCAAGTTAAAATTAATTTAAAATTTTTGCTCGTCTTGCAAAACACTCGCAAACCAAGTTACTCGCAATCCGAGGTTTGACTGTACTTTTTGTGATTAATGAGCAAAGGAGAAATAAATAGAATATAAATATTTAAACATATGAATAATATAAATGAGATTTTAAGACATGGACATTAAGCCATACACAAAGAAATACATGTCACAACTAGGACTGGCTTTCACATTTCTAGCTGATCCATCCAGTACTTCTAGAAATTGTACAGGTTGGTCAGTGTGTGAAGGGCAGGGATTAGATGGGAAGAGCGGGTGATGAGGCTGTCCAGGGAATTGCACTGTCGCTCCAATAGCCCCCCTTTCTAGCTATTTTCCTGCAGTGGGCTGGGGCGTAGCTAGAGATGCTGGCTCCCCTGACATAATGTCGCCTTGGGCCTGCCACTTGAGTTGCCGCTAGGGATGTACTGATACCCAATACTAGCATCAGGCCATCCTGTGACCTTGACAAGGGGTAAATATGGTCACAGGTTTTCAGTTATATAATGGTGTTTCATTGAAATGTTTTTAAAAAAACACCATTAAATGACGGAATTGGTCAAATCTGTGCTAAGTCATCATGGCTACCGCTATAATTAACAATAAGAGAATTCCCTCAGACGTGCCATTGTATATTGGAAGCAGTAAGTAATGAGAGTCTCAGTTACAATAATGCCAGAAACTGATCCTGACTTTTATCCCCCGTGGGGCGATTCTTTAAAATATTTATTCACATTTAACTCTAGGTCTGCAATATATTATAATTTATATATTTTTTGCCATGTTGCAGTATAAATGCTTCATATACTTCTTATTACAAAATATATCATCCATTTTGCAGCTG